CCCCACAGGCACAGGCACTGCAGAGCCAGCGCGGAGCTGCAGGTGGGGCCGCCTCAGCTCACTGCTCAGCCCATCCAGGACAGCGGAGTCCTCCCTGCCCCCTGCCCCCTGCCCCTCCCATCACCATCCTCCTCTGATCTGGCCCTTCCTCACCTCCTTCCTGTTCCCGTTCCCACATTCCCCTCTGCCCCGCCCCCCTCCCCCCAACACCGCCCCCTCCCTCCTCTTCTCTTCAGCTCCACCCACTGCTCCTTTCGTCCCGCACAGAGCTCCGGCCGGGGCCCATGCCGCCCTCATCTCCTCCATAAACACTGCCCTGGGCCCCTCTCGGTGTCCCCCCATCCCTGCCCCATTTACGCTCTGAGTCCAGACACCCCTCCTTGACCAAGCCCTTGGCCCACCCCCCACCTTACCCCTCCACCCCCCACTCCCTCTTGGGTTGACTCATTCCTCCCCCCAACTTTTCCCTCCCAAGCTCCACCCTTTCCCGTCCACACCCTCAGCCAACCTCCCTCCGCTCTTCCCCGGGGACCGCCTCCCAGCATGTCCCCCTGAGCCCCCAAAGAGGGGGCTCGGGGAGCCCCATGGCCTCCCGCCCCCTGTGGCCCCGCAGCCCCCGGGGGCCAGGGGAAGCCCCTGAGAGGCCCGGCGGCGGCGGCGGCGCTGAGGATGGGCAACGGCAGCTGGGAGGGCTGCCACGTGGACTCGCGCATGGACCACCTCTTCCCGCCTTCCCTCTACATCTTCGTCATCGGCGTGGGGCTGCCCACCAACTGCCTGGCGCTGTGGGCCGCCTGCCGCCAGGTGCGCCAGCGCAACGAGCTGGGCGTGTACCTCATGAACCTGAGCATCGCCGACCTGCTGTACATCTGCACGCTGCCGCTCTGGGTGGACTACTTCCTGCACCACGACAACTGGATCCACGGGCCCGGCTCGTGCAAGCTCTTCGGCTTCATCTTCTACACCAACATCTACATCAGCATCGCCTTCCTGTGCTGCATCTCGGTGGACCGCTACCTGGCCGTGGCGCACCCGCTGCGCTTCGCCCGCCTGCGGCGCGTCAAGACGGCCGTGGCCGTGAGCTCCGTGGTCTGGGCCACCGAGCTGGGCGCCAACTCGGCGCCGCTCTTCCATGACGAGCTGTTCCGCGACCGCTACAACCACACCTTCTGCTTCGAGAAGTTCCCCATGGAGGGCTGGGTGGCCTGGATGAACCTCTACCGCGTCTTCGTGGGCTTCCTGTGCCCCTGGGCGCTCATGCTGCTGTGCTACCGCGGCATCCTGCGCGCCGTGCGCGGCAGCGTGTCCACCGAGCGCCAGGAGAAGACCAAGATCAAGCGGCTGGCGCTCAGCCTCATCGCCATCGTGCTCGTGTGCTTCGCGCCCTACCACGTGCTGCTGCTGTCCCGCAGCGCCGCGCACCTGGGCCGGCCCTGGGACTGCGGCTTCGAGGAGCGCGTGTTCCCCGCCTACCACAGCTCGCTGGCCTTCACCAGCCTCAACTGCGTGGCCGACCCCATCCTCTACTGCCTGGTCAACGAGGGCACCCGCAGCGACGTGGCCAGGGCCCTGCACGACCTGCTGCGCTTCCTGGCCAGCGACAAGCCCCAGGAGATGGCCAGCGCCTCCCTCACCCTGGAGACCCCGCTCACGTCCAAGAGGAGCCACGTGGCGGCGGCCAAGGTCGTGGCAGCCGGCTGGGCGGTGGCGCCGTCCTCCCAGGAGGAGCAGGTGCAGCTGAAGATGCTGCCGCCGCCGGTGGCACAGTGACCCTCAGATGGCACAGGGACCCCCAGATGGCACAGGGACCCCCAGATGGCACAGGAACCCCCAGATGGCACAGGAACCCCCAGATGGCACAGGGACCCCCAGATGGCACAGGGACCCCCAGATGGCACAGGGACCTTCAGATGGCACAGGGACCCCCAGATGGCACAGGAACCCCCAGATGGCACAGGGACCCCCAGATGGCACAGGGACCCTCAGATGGCACAGGGACCCCCAGATGGCACAGGGACCCCCAGATGGCACAGGGACCCCCAGATGGCACAGGGACCCTCAGATGGCACAGGGACCCCCAGATGGCACAGGGACCTTCAGATGGCACAGGGACCCCCAGATGGCACAGTGACCTTCACTTGGTACAGTGACCCTCAGATGGCACAGGAACCCCCAGATGGCACAGGGACCCCCAGATGGCACAGGGACCCCCAGATGGCACAGGGACCTTCAGATGGCACAGGGACCCCCAGATGGCACAGGAACCCCCAGATGGCACAGGGACCCCCAGATGGCACAGGGACCCCCAGATGGCACAGGAACCCCCAGATGGCACAGGGACCCCCAGATGGCACAGTGACCCTCACTTGGTACAGTGACCCTCAGATGGCACAGGGACCCCCAGATGGCACAGGGACCTTCAGATGGCACAGGGACCCCCAGATGGCACAGTGACCTTCACTTGGTACAGTGACCCTCAGATGGCACAGGAACCCCCAGATGGCACAGGGACCCCCAGATGGCACAGGGACCCCCAGATGGCACAGGGACCTTCAGATGGCACAGGGACCCCCAGATGGCACAGGAACCCCCAGATGGCACAGGGACCCCCAGATGGCACAGGGACCCCCAGATGGCACAGGGACCCTCAGATGGCACAGTGACCCTCACTTGGTACAGTGACCCTCAGATGGCACAGGGACCCCCAGATGGCACAGGGACCCCCAGATGGCACAGGGACCCCCAGATGGCACAGGGACCCTCAGATGGCACAGGGACCTTCAGATGGCACAGGGACCCCCAGATGGCACAGGGACCTTCAGATGGCACAGGGACCCCCAGATGGCACAGGGACCCCCAGATGGCACAGGGACCCCCAGATGGCACAGGGACCTTCAGATGGCACAGGGACCCCCAGATGGCACAGGAACCCCCAGATGGCACAGGGACCCCCAGATGGCACAGGAACCCCCAGATGGCACAGGAACCCCCAGATGGCACAGGGACCCCCAGATGGCACAGTGACCCTCACTTGGTACAGTGACCCTCAGATGGCACAGGGACCTTCAGATGGCACAGGGACCCCCAGATGGCACAGGGACCCCCAGATGGCACAGGGACCCTCAGATGGCACAGGGACCTTCAGATGGCACAGGGACCCCCAGATGGCACAGGGACCTTCAGATGGCACAGGGACCCCCAGATGACACAGGGACCCCCAGATGGCACAGGGACCCCCAGATGGCACAGGGACCCTCAGATGGCACAGGGACACCCCCTCCCCCCCAGAAATTCACCCCTCACCCGGGACCCTCTGGCTCTGGTGTATGCGATTGTATGTAAATAAGGCCATGTTACCGCTCACCCTGTGAATACAAGAAAAGAGGAAAACAGCAAGATTGGTGTGTCGCTCTGGTCAGTTGTCGACCTCTGCCGTGGCCCCTTAACGGTTCAGCAGCACAGCGCCCAGCCAGCCCGGGCAGGGTTAGTGACACTGGGGTGACGTGTGACAGACCTGGCCCGGGCCCCACCGGCTCCCGCTCCGATGGGACAGATCTGTCCCCGGTGGGCAGGCTCAGACAGGAGAGGCCAGGGTCTGGGGGAACCCCAAAGGGCATTGACCCGGGCTGGGGGACAGGGAGGGCTTCCTGGAGGAGGAGGCCAGTACTAGTAAATGAAGTTTCCAGAGGTAAAGACCAAAGAAAGAAAGAAAAGAGACGTGAGGATTATTTCCAATGAGGTGGTGACTCAGGGGGAAGGCGGAAGGAGAAACCCTGAGTGTGGGGTGATCTCTTTTGCTCTAGGGAAGCCCCCGTCATACAGGGGGGGAGTGAGCAGGACAGAGCAAGTCCGAGTTTTTAGATGAACGTTCTCCAAGTCAGGATTGAGGAAGAAGAGGGAGAATGTCCAAACCCAAGTGAAGGGCAATCAAGGAAGACTGCCTGGAGGAGTCATTCCGTCAGCAAGTTTATTTGTGCCTGTCATCTGCTGTGCGGGCTGGGGCTGGGGACACAGTGGTGATCAAGACACATGAAGGGACAGAGGGACATGGAGTCTGATCTAGAGGAGGTCAGAGGGCTCACTGAGAAGGTGGCACTTGAGCAAAGTCCTGAAGTAGGGTAAGGGGCCCTGTGGCTGCCAGGGGGAAGAGCATGGCAGGCAGAGGGCACAGCCAGGGGAAAGCCCTGGAGGCAGAGAGAGCCTGAGTTCTGAGGCACCATGGGTACCGTGGTGCGCCTAGAGCAGATGGGGGTGACAGAGTGGGAGAGAGACTGGCAATGGGACCCAGGCCTATCTTTCAGGGCTCAAACAGTCCCGGTGAGGACTCTGCCTTTTACTCAGAGGTAAATGGGAGCCACAAGAGGAGGGACGTGCTTTGACTCCAATGTTAACCGGATCCCACTGGTTGCCGAGTGGGGAACAGAATAGGGCAGTGAGGGAACAGCCAGGAGCCCGGTGAAGCGGTGTCTGCCATAGTCCAGGTGGGAGGTGCCGGGGGGGGGGGGCCTAGGTGGGCGGTGGAGTGAGCGAGGGACAGCGGGCGCTTTGGGACTTCCTGCGAAGGAACACAATGATGGAAGCAGCGCCGGGGCCTGCGGGATTGGGTAGCACAGCCTCTTGCCCATCCTGGGAAACTGGTGACAGAGAGTCTGAGCGGGAAGGACCTCTGGGAACGGTCCCAGGCCCTATTCCGGGTGGTCACTGGAGAGGCCAAGGGACTAGCCCGGAGTGGCGCAGCCCGTGAGTCAGCCTGGGGCCACCCTGGGCTCCTCTCCCCTCCCAGTCGCTGCCTCTGTTCCCACGCCCCGGAGTGGCCACGCTGCCTGCTCCGGCGGGTCTCTCCCTCCCTCTCTCGGCCCTCAGAGGCCACCAGGATGGTCCTCCTATAGCTGGGCTGGAGAACAGGAGGACACGCCCAGCTCTGGACTGGCCTCACCCCTTCTTTCTTGGGTCTGTAACAGGCTCAGGAGGAGATGGATGACCCCCCACCACCACCACCTCTCTCCTCACACACCCTTCCTTGCCCCATTAAGAGGTTCCTGGAAACCCTTCTCAGAGAAAGGAAGAGGGAGGAGGGGAATGAGGGGGGAAAAAAGAACTTAATGAAGAAAATGGTTTTGCGGGGGAGGGGGGGTTACTGAGATGCAGGAAGTTGGGGCTTTGGTGTTGGGAAGAGAAAAAGGGGGGTCTAGGACCTGGGGGCTCTAGTAATTTTCCCATCCTGTCTCACCACCATAAAGCTGTTGGGGTAGAGTTGTAGGGGGTCAGATATTTTGAACACAGTCTCCTCAGAGAAGGAGATGAAAGCCTGCACATTACCCTCCACCAAATGCTCATTCACATCCAATAAATATTTATTGAGCACCTACTATGTGCCAGGCACTATTTTAGAAGCTGAGTGAATTATACAGGAAAAAAAGCAGTGAATTATACAGGGGAAAAAAGCAGTGAATTATACAGGGGAAAAAAGCAGCCATGTACAAGTTTGGAAGTTACCTTAGTCCCCCCAGTAGGACCTTGGACTCCAGGCTAACACCCCTCAAGAGAAGACTCTGGGATGGGACTCAAGAAATCCTAGCCTCGCCTGGCCAGTTGGTTGGGCATAGTCCTGTGCATCCAAAGATCACTGGGTTCCATTCCCGGCCAGGTCACATACTCAGGTTGCGGGTTCAATCCCCAGTCATGGAGAGTGCGGAGGCAGTGGATCAATGTTTCTTTCTCTCTTCAAATCAATAAAAACATTTTGAAAAATAAAATCACATTAAAAAAAGAGTGAAATTCTAGCCTTCAGCTCCATCCTGATGACCCTTGGGATGTTGGGTAAACCCTTTTCATTCTCTGGCCTCAGTTAGCCAGTCTGTAAAATGGGGAGGGGGTTGGTCCCTGATGGACATGGACATTGGATAGGCTCCAAGCGCCCTCATACTCTGTCCAGGAGGGATCCCAGGGGAGGTTTGTTTTATGATCTTGTCACTTTTACTACATAATTTGGACTGTCTGGGTTCACACACGTCAGTGCCATCATTGTTACAGATGAAGAAAGAGGAACATCAGCGCCGGGGGCTTGACAGAGGATGGTCAGGGAGTCAGAGCTGATACAAGGAAAGCCCAGGGTCTCCTGACTCTACATCCTGAAGGTGTGTCCTCTTGCACCCCACTCCTCCGCTCCTCTCTTGGGCTCCCTCTGCCTCTCGATTACCCATCAGCACTCCAGCATTCAGGAATGTCTCTCAACCCCTTCCTGACCTTGTTTATACGATTTTGCTTCCTGCTGGGTAAGGGAGGACAGGCTGGGACATGTCCTCAAAGTCCTTCCTGAGCCAGCTCCCTGGGGACCCTCGCCCCGCAATGGAGGCAGTGGGGCTGCCTGAGCCCGGGTATGGTTTTCCTGGCCAGAATGCTGGGCTATCAACCTCTGCCGGCTGAGGGACCTTCTGCCAGCCCCCTGCCCCCTCTGTTGTTTGGGAGAGGGCTGGGTTATCTGCTTCTGGAGGTGAAAGCACCCCTCCCACTGGAGTTAGCCATGACGATACTAATACCTTTTTAGCACATGTGTCAAACACAAGGCCTGCGGGCCAAATCCGTCCCGCCAGGCCTTGCAATGTGGCCCGCACCGCGCTGTCATCACTACACTCCGCTGCGTTTCCATCACAATGACAGTTTATGACTGTTCAGTAAACCATTCGGCCCGCGATTTAGGCTGGATTTTAGATTTTGGCCCCTTCTCTGATTGAGTTCGACACCCCTACTTTATAGCAATAAAGGCTGTTTATGAAGTGCTTACTATATGACAGGCACCGTATTTTTACATTCAGATGGGCATGCAACCAAGTTAACAGCTATCATGATTCACGTTCTGTAGAGAACACTGATGCCTAGAGTGGTTAAGTCACTTGCGTAATATCACACAGCAAGTGAATGACAACTGGGCTCTCAAGCCAGGGCTGCATGGCTATATAGAGCCCTAACCCGCTCTCTCACTGGGTAGGTGTATTTGGGATTCATTAGCCCTTATTAGGACTAATTGAGAGTCTCAATGAGGCAGAGCGACCACCTAGGTACGTAACATCACGAAAGAGCGTGTGGGAACCCACCCACGTTCCCGCAATCAGCCGTTTAACGACTCTGCCCTCAGACAGCTTCACTTCCGCTACGTATTTGCATATTCAGCGAAGGACGTAAGGGCGTAAGCGCGACGAGGTGACGTCAGGGAGCGCCCCAGCACTTTCCCCCGAGCGTAGGCACGCACGCGCACGCACGCACGCACGCACGCACAGCGACCAGCGGGCGGGGGAGGAGGGAGAGATTGGAGGCGCCCCGCCCAGTCAGCAAGGCTATCCGTCCCTCGTGCGACCGCCAAGATGGTGGTGGGTGCGTTCCCCATGGCGAAGCTGCTATACTTGGGCATCCGGCAGATCAGCAAGCCGCTTGCCAACCGCATTAAGGAGGGCGCCCGCCGGAGCGAGTTCTTCAAGACCTATGTCTGCCTCCCGCCGGCTCAGCGTGAGTCTGACCCCAAGTCCCTCCAACCTTCCCATTCTCCAACCCCTCTCAGGTGGTGGTTCAGGGGATGGACTTCTGTTCACGTCCAATCACAGCCCGAACCGGCAAAGTCTTGCAGCCAATAGGGAGGGCCTTTGGGATTAAGGGCATGCGGCGAGTCCAATTGCAAGGAGGGGCGTGGGCTGAGGGGCGGGGCAGAGCGCTTCCTCCCGAGTTGAGAATACCAGCCAATAGAGTAAGAGAGCGCGTGGCGACTGATGTCTGAGCGAGCCAATAGCGTGGTACGAGAATAATTTGGGCCGGGCCCTCCGAGGCTTTGAGGAGCTAGGGGCCGGCGGAGGAGGGACGAGGCGGAGTCATTTCCCAGCCATCCTTGGGCGTCTTGGCTTCCCAAACTGTATCTGGAACTTCAGTTTTCCCCTCGCCTTGGAGGTTAAATGTGCTTGTATGTCATTCGTTTAGGACAGCGGTTTACCCCAGTTAATACTCCGGGAAATAGGACTGGGTTAGAAGTGTGTCTCCGGGCAAAATTAAGTTGCGGTCTGGGGAGGTGGCCTGAGAATCTGGCAAAATGGCAATTTAACCAGAGACACTCATCCATTTATTAATTAATCCACTGATACACTGAGTTTCTCGTCCATTTATTCAAGAGGCAGACCATGCTGGCTTTTTGCTGGATACTGGGAGAGACGCTCATGACCCGTCATTGTCACTCCCGAGTGGTCAGGGTGGTGGGAACTCTGGAGCTCAGAGAGGCCACCTGGTCCAGGGACATGATGACTTAGAGGAGGGCAGGCCGAGCTGAAACCTAAAGGGCATAGTAGACACTCAAAATACAAGCTACTTTAAAAAGATGAACTAGATGAATAGGCCTATGGGAGCACAGAATAAGGAAATTAATGTAATTTGTTGGCTCAGGTGACCACTGTTCATCCATCCACCCATCCATTACTTCATTTACCTAGTATTTTCTGAGTATGGACTCTGCCCGGCCTTGTGTTGGGCAGTGTTGGTGAAACAGCAGGGACCAAGTCAGCCCAATCCGTGCCCTCAAGGAGCGCATTCCATTAGAGACCCACCCGTTCTGCAAGAGTGACAACCAGAGTGGGCAGAGCTGGGATGGGATTGCCCACTGGATGCCTGACCTGGTTTGGGGTTCAGGGATGTCTTCAGGGTGAGGAGAACCTCACCAGACAACATGGGGGCAGGGATGATGTTGAAGGAGAGGGAGAAGCGTGGGAAAGGCCAATGGGTAAGAGGAACACATACTTTTTTTTCCCCTTATAAGTCCGGGTGTTTAAAATTTGCATTCTGGAGCCTACCATACTTAGTCCATTGATATTTGTTTGCTGGGCCCTTTGCCACAGCTGCAGATCTTAGCCTGGAAAAGGGTTGGATCGCATAGTTACCAAGTACTTTCGTATCAGATGTCTTATCCGAGTTTCACACGATGTTGTCCCTATGTCAGGGATACTAAATGACTTCTCCCAGTTCATAGGGGAAAAAACAGAGACCTTGAGAGCAGGAGGGAATTGCTGCGGTCACACATGAGTTCGTGCCAAAGGCAGGACTTACATCCTGGACTGTGCTGGTTTCTGTTCCTTTCTCCCAGACACTGTGCCATGTCTTCGCGTTGTGGTTTAGACGGTGGCTTCCTGAGTTAGACTGACACGGGTTCCATTCTGGGTCCTGCCTCTTCCCAGCCAGGAAGCTTTGGGCTGGTCAATTAACCAGTCAGAGCTTCAGTCTCCTCTTCTGCACAATGGGTATTTTATAACCACAACATTTAATGGGCACTCACTTTGTGCTAGGCAGTGTGATAAGCACTTCACAGGCCTTCTGACATTCAATTCTCACACACACACACCATAAAAATATATATATATATATATATATATATATATATATATATATATGTAATTATTATTCCCATTTTGTATACTATATACAAATTTATGCTATGTATAGTACATTGTTGTAAGGAGTAAACGGATATACAATTTAAGTCAGTGGTTCACAGATGTATATGTATAGATGTGGATACAGCAGAGAAGAAAAAGCAAAAAAAAAAAAAAAAAAAAAAAAAATCCTGTCCTCAGGGACCTTACATTCTGGGGGGAAGCCAGGCAATAAACAAAATCAATAGTTACAATATGAAGTATATTAGGTACCAATAACTGTCCTAGAGAAAACAGCAGGGATGCTGGAGGAGGAGTATTTAGGGGCAGGTTGTAAGTTTAGATTGGATTATCAGGAGACCTCACTGAAAATACTCAGGAGGGAACAAACAGTACAGGTGTCAGGGGGAGAACATTCTAGCCCAAAGGTTCTGCACGTGCGAAGGCCCTGAGGTGAGAGTGTGCCTGGCATGTTGGGTGAACAGCAAGGCAAGTGCGGCTGAGCAGACAGATCGAGTGGAGACTGAGGGCCGAGGGGAACTGGTGGTGCTGGAAAGGCGGGCAGACTGTGCAGGGCCTGTGGCCACTGCAAATGCTTTGGCTTTACTCTGAGTGGGTGGGACTCATGGAGGGCCTGAGGAAGGACAGGATCTGTGATAGAAATGTATTTGTTGATTTGAGAGAGAGACACACACATTGATTTGTTGTTCCACTTATTTATGCATTCATTGGTTGGTACTTATATGTGCCTTGACCTGATTTGAACCCACAGCCTTGGTGTATCAGGACAATGCTATCCTACTGAGTTACCCGGCCAGGACTCTGTGTTATATTTTAACTAGAGGCCCGGTGCACGGAATTCGTGCACAGGTGGGGTCCCTAGGCCTAGTTGGCTATCGGGGGCCAATCAGGGCCTTCTGGCTGCTGGCTGGGATCTTCCTTCATCCCACGCTGCCCCCTGGTGGTCAGCACACATCATAGTGAGCAATTGAACTCCTGGTCCAACTCCAAGGAGACACTTTGCATATTGGCCTTTTATATATAGATAGCATGCTTTTGGCAATCATAGGGTGAGGATGGGTGTAGGGAGTAGGCAACACAGGGGGAGGTGAGTGAGGAGAAGTCAGATTCTGGAGAAATTTCCCTCTAACTCTTCATTTAATATTGTCAAACTCGAAGAAAAGTTGAAAGAAAGAATGGTATAGTCATTAGTTACATACCCGTTACTACCGATTTCATCCATTAATAGCTTTCAACACATTTGCTGTATCTTTGCTTTCATATGTATGCGTATATGTATGTATACACATTTCCTCCCCTGAACACTTTGAAAATAGGTTTGGACATGATACTTCACTCCTAAATAGTTCAGCCTGAATCTCTTAAGAACAGAGACATTTTATATAACACAGTGTCAATATCATACCTGAGAGTTTTAATACTGATAACAATAATATTGATAACAATATTAATATATAGTTTATATTCTGATTTCTCCAGTTGCCCCCCAAAACCCTTTTTTACTGTTTATTATTATTTTTAAATTTAAATTCTTTATTGTAAAGTATTAGATATGTCTCCTTTTTCCTCCATTGACTTCTCTCCTGCCGTCCCCGCCCCCCCAACACATGCCCTCACCCCCCTTCCTGTCTGTGTCCATGGGTTACGCTTATATGCATTGTTTATTATTTTTAATCTGGAGTCTGCTTTAGGATCTTGCACTGCATTTCCTATCATGTCTCTCTAGTAACCTTTAGTGTACAACAGGACTCTGCCACCCGGCCCACTGCCTGTCTTCATAAATAAAGTTTTATTAGAACACAGACACACACATTTGTTTGCATTTGTCCTGTAGCTGCAAAGGTGGGTTTGTATGGCCCACAAATCTAAAATATTTATCCTGTGACCTTTTATGGAAAATGTTTGCTGACCCAGCCCTATAACAGCATTCCTGCTCTTCCTTGTTTTTCATAACATGGACATCTGGAAGAGTCCTAGAGTGCCATGGAATGCCCCACAACCTCGAGTTTTCTGATCGTTCCCTCTGATTTGGTTTGCGTGGAGCATCTTGGCAGGACTCTCACAGGCATGACGGTGTGTCCTGAGGACAGCCCCTCAGGGGGCTCCCGGTGTCTGTTCTTCCAGCGTTTGTGACGGGGACTTGGATCCCTCGGTTCAGGTGGTGACCACCGCAGGAACCTTTCCTTTTCCCCTGACTAATGAATAACCCGCGGGCGTGTTTGGAGGCAGAGCCAGCAGGATTTCCTGTGACTGGGTGTGACAGGCAGCCCGGAGGAGGGGCAGGTTGCACAGAAAGGGCAGAGGCTCAGGCTGGGACAGGTTTAGTTGGAGATTCTATTAGATGTTGTTAAAGTGCACTGACTTTAATCTTTAAACTCTTTTCTTACGTTGTTTCTGTCTTCACATTGCTAATTGCCCATCGCTCTGGCCCCTTGATTGTGCGATTAGAATTTCCCAGAAGCAGCTTTGTGTTCTCTGGTCAGGCCTCCTGACCTGACCTGACCAACACGTCCACCGCCTGTGCCCTGGCCTGGGCGCTTCTGACTCAGCAGAGGCTGGTGTGGAAGGTGTGTCAGCGTGAGAAAAGAACAGTAAGTGCCAGAAGCACAACTCATCGATGTTGGGAGGCAAGGATCTTTCTAAACAAAGAATTCTGGGCAAGAAAAAAAATAATAGAAGTTGGTGATGCCAGGCGGTTTGAGGCCACTCTCACCAAGTGCACTGCTCACACTCCAGGGGAGTCGAGGGATGTCCCTGGGCAGAGCGAAGATTCCAGTGCGTTTCTGCTTATTCCTTTGGGATATACTGGTCGTTTTTCTAGTATACTGCTCACAGCAGGCACAGTAATTAGTAATTGTTCCGCCCCCAAAGATGGCTGCATCTTTTTATTATTATTATTATTATTATTATTATTATTATTTTTAAATTTCAGAGAAGAAGGAAGAGGGAGAGAGAGGTAGAAACATCGGTGATGAGAATCATTGGTCGGATGCCTCTTGCACATCGGGCCCGCAACCTGGACATGTGCCCCTGACCGGAATCGAACCCGGGACTCTTCAGTCTGCAGGCTGAAGCTCTATC